CATAAGACTCTGAACAGGGTGACAGGGTGGGCTGCTGGCAGAAGAGTATGAGGGGGTGTCCCAACTCTGAGTTTTGGTAGGGTCTCCATGACTAGAGGAAGCACTGGGCTTGCCTGTTGACACGAAGCCTCTACCTGTGTCCCCATCTCCTTGTGCCTTCAACATGTATGTGAAATCATACCTGAAAGGGATCAGGAACACACACTATGGGTTCTTGAACCCTTGTGGGCACAGAGAAAAAAGAGGCACGATGCAGGCAGTGGGGGCCAGCCACTCACAGGCGAGGGGCAACTTGGTGGCCCAATCCAAGCTCAGGGTTGGGCCAATGCTCAGAGCTCAGGAAAGAGCTGTTGCTGCAGGGTCCTCCCTCTCCCAGGCTGGAGAAAGGACAGTAGGCAAGGACAAAAGATACAGAGGGAGGCGTGGACCTGGGGCTAGGAAAAGAACGAGCGGCCCATGGGGAGGGGAGCACCAGCCCTAGAGTACAGACCATTGTCTCAAGGGGACTCACCTCCCGGCAGAAGGCCACGATGTTCTCCCAGAGAGCTTTGGCCTCACCCTCGTCCGTCTGCCGCCGCTTCTCCACATGCATACTCTCCCTGCGCCTCAGGGGTGCGACTCCTCGGCGCTGGGCCACTAGGAGCTGGGGTGTGTGGCAGGCGGCACAGTGCTTAGCCCGGGGTGTGTTGAGCAGAGTGCAGGCAGGGCAGGCCCACTGGCCTGGCCGCTCAGAAGGTGCCTCAGGAAAGAGGCGGCAGGCCTTGTGGGCCGTGCAGAGGCCAGGCTTGTCAGTGCTGCAGTCAGGACAGCGGGCAATGGACTCGCTGTGCTCCTGGAAGCCATGCAGCTTGGAGCAGCCGCACGCTGTGCACCTGGGGGCCACTGTGGGGTTCTTGAGCGTGCACTTGGCACATGACCAGGTGCTGAAGTCGGGGCTAGAGGGGCTGGCTGGCGTGTAGCGCACAATGTCACCTGCCAGGTCAATGACATCGGTGCCTGGCATGGCACCACAGGCTTCACACAGGCTTGTGGGGCTCGGTGTGGAGCAAGAGCTGCACCGGCGCAACCCAGGGCTGCCCTCAGCCACCTCCTCCTCCAGAGCGCTCAGTCGTTTGCCTGAAAGCAGCTCTGCTAAGCGGGAGGCTCCTGTTGCAGTACGTCCTGGGCCCTGGGGGGGCCCCTTGGAGCCAGTGGGCTGGGTGGCCTCAGGCACCAGTGGCTGCAGCTGCGGGGGTACCTCACGGCGGCTGCGAGGCACGGGGTTGTTTTGCAGGGTGGGCGAGAAGGGGCTAAAGGGCAGCATCCGGGGAAGCTCCTGGTCGTTGGCAGAGGGAGGGTCGGCCTCGGCACCTTCCCCAGGCTGGGGTGGGGCAGGTGTGACATGGAAGCCAGCAGGCGCCACAACTTCAGGGACCACCAGGGCCTCGGGAGGGATCCTAGGTAGTGAGAGTTTTCGGGGTCCCCCGCAGGCAGAGCAGGAGCTGGCCATAGGTGTGTTGTGCAGTGTGCAGCGCGGGCAGGCCCAGCCGCTCCTGGGTTCTGTTGCCCCCTCCTCCTTCTCCTCTGGCTGACCCCCAGCCAGCTCCATGGCCACTAGTCCCTCTGTCTGCACTGGACCCGCCTCCTCCTTGCAGCTGCTCTTGGGCTCTACCAGGATGGTGGGTGGCTTGGGTAGGACCCCATTGATGACTGGCAGCAGGGAGGTGCCAGGCACGGGTTCCGGGGCAAAGCCACACACCTCGCAGGCCTCCTTGCCTAGGAAGTTCCGGAATGTGCATCGGGCGCAGGGCCATTTCTGCTCTTCAACACTGAGCCGCAAGATCTGGTCGAGGTCAGGCTTGTGCCGGGGGGCCTCACAGATGGAGCACTGGCGCTGGCCGGCCGGGTTCAGGAATGTGCAGCGTGCGCAGGACCACTCCCCAACGGCGGCCATGGACCCAGGCGAGTGTGTGTGGCTGCAAGGAATGGCCCCAATCAGTGCAGGCCCACAGGAAAGGGACCCAAGTCTCCACCTGGGATGAGGGGGTCGAGCCAGAGGGATCTGTGCTCTTCTGGGCTGTGATAGATGTCAGGCTCAAGAGGGCAGCCTATAAGAAGCTTGAGGACTGTAAGGAGTGAGAGACACTCCCAAGGCCTCTGAGGGATCCCCACAGCTCTCCTCAGACCCCTTCTAGAGGGGTGGACCTGTGGGGACAGAGGGATAAGGTTGAGCCACACCATCTTAGTGGCCACGGGGCCTTGGTGTA